GAACACAGAGAAACTCTGGTTCGTATGGAAACTCCAGCAGAGGGGACCATGGGAGCTGTCACCACAAAGGCCACTGTTAAAGGGAAACCACATGGAGCAGGGTGCAGTCTGGCTAAAGACCAAGCGTCTTGTGTTAGGCCTGAGCAAACCAGTCTTTTTTTTTTTTTTTATGGGTATCGGTGTTTTGCCTGCACGTATATCTGTATGAGGGTGTTGAATCCCCTGCAACTGGAGTTACAGACAGTTGTGAGCTGCCACGTGGATGCTGGGAATTGACCCCAGGACCATCTGGAAGAGCAGCCAGTGCCCTGAACTGCTGAGCCATCTCTCCAGCCCTGCAAACCAGTCTTCAGAGGCGCCCAGGCCCCCAGCCAGCACCAAGGGAGCCAGAACTGGCAGATCTAGGAAGGGTGCAAATGAAAGGACCCCGTTTGGTAGAGACAGCCAGAGCGCATAAGGCAGGGGAATTAATTCAGGTAAAGGGAGAGAAGGAGGCAGGCCATCCCAACTGCCAGGAAGAACCACCCCACTGAGAGTGCAGTCCTGTGTATCAGTGTGCACTGTGAGGCTTCGTGCTGGTTAGGAATCACCGTAGGCAGTGTTCTGAGCTTGAACCCCCTCCTCAGCCTCTTGCTGGAAAGCTCTCTGATCTCTCTGCACCTCAATCCTCCAGCCATAAGGCAGAAAGAGCAGTCTAGATGCTCCTTGGCCGACAATGGTGTTACACCCTGATAAAATCCCCGTAGGAGCTGCTGGGGATGTAGGTCAGCTGGCCAAGCGCTTGCTGAGCTAATGCGAGGACCAGAGTTTGCATCCACAGCAGCCATGTAAATGCTGGCTCAGATCGGCAGCCCGCCTGTAATTCCAGCTCTTGGGAAGAGGAGCCGGGGGGTCCCTGGAGCAAGATGGTTGTCTAATGAGCAAGTTCTGAGTTCAAATGAGAGACCCTGCTGCCTCAATGACTAAGATGAAGAGCAACAGAAAAAAAACAAAACATACATGTGTATGCCTCCCCCACCACAACATGCATGCACAGCACACACGTACACACCAAGAAAAATAAAAACATTGCGAGTAGAAAATTCACTTACTTCTGCCTACCTGTGTCATAACTTGGCACACAGTGCACTGGAGGCTACTGCTTACCTCTCCTCATGAACCAGGGCTGACAGGCTGGGGGCTCATTGTCACTGCCCAGAAGCAAGAAAGACTACAGCGCTGTATATTGCTAGGCTGAGAAAAGATCAAACTTCCAAGAACAGTTTCTACAGAAGATGTATTACCTGCACAGAATGTAAAGTCTGGCCATCATAAGTCAAGGGACAGACAGTCTGTATAAGAACCAGCCTGCCGGGCGGTGGTGGCGCACACCTTTAATCCCAGCACTCGGGAGGCAGAGCCAGGCGGATCTCTGTGAGTTCGAGGCCAGCCTGGACTACCAAGTGAGTCCCAG